TAATGCAGCATGAGCTAGGGTAAGAAAGGGTTTACTTATAATGCAGCATGAGCTAGGGTAAGAAAGGGTTTACTTATAATGCAGCATGAGCTAGGGTAAGAAAGGGTTTACTTATAATGCAACAAGAGCTAGGGTGTTATCCAAATGAGACGATGCCACACTGTAGCATTTGTAAATAGCTCAACATAATTTATTATGAAACATTAGTAACAAACGTTTAGTAAATACATGCATATCAAAAGTTAAAAAACAATGATAAATACATAAACAAATTATGAAAGATAAGGTTATAGCAAAGGCTTAACAAATGTATATATAAAAACTTCAAAGGATAGCCTAAGCAATGATAAATACGTAAACAGGAAAGGCATGATTCAAAAATTAAAAAAAAGAATGGTAAATTCAGCTGTTTTTCAGTTTCTTAGAATCTGCAAAATAAATAACAGTAAAACCCTATAAATAACAGTTACATCTTAAATAGAATACTTAAAAAATAAAACAATAAATGATCAGATACAAATATAACAACATCTTCGAACACAAAATACCGTACATTAAATCTCACTTAACTGATAACTTAAATATAAAAACATTGGTCTCTTTATTCATCAATAAATGAAAGATTATTTGGGCAAGGGACACCACAAAACGTGCATCTACTACCTATAAAAGATTATTTGGGCAAGGGACACTACAAAATGTGCATTTACTACCTATAAAAGATTATTTGGGCAAGGGACACCACAAAATGTGCATTTACTACCTATAAAAGATTATTTGGGCAAGGGACACTAAAAACATTTACTACCTACAAAAGATTATTTGGGCAAGGGACACCACTAAATGTGCATTTACTACCAAGTGTTTCCAAACAAATACCATCTGTTATTTTTTTTTACCAACGTACCTCTTTAGCCATCTTTATATTAACTTTATCCACCACCCATTTTTTACAGAGGGCATTGTAGCGGTAACGGATGGCTGTTTCCACCTCCAATTCATCTAGATGAAACTCCTTCCATGGGTCTTCCATATAAAGAGCTTTGTGGGCTGCCACCTTCCACTGGTACTTCATTGCTCTTGCTGCACAAATGTTAAGAGAACAAAACCATATCTATACTTAGACTGTATAATATAGAGAACTTGAATGATCTTTAATTAAAAATAACGTGTGACATACCTCATGCAAAAACAATTAGATGTTACTTTTAACACAAATCTACACTCACGAGTCTAGTACTTTGGACTAGTGTTTCCTGAAAATAAAATGATTTCATATCTAAAAAAAAACATCATATTTCTGAAATTCTCGACATTATATGAAAATAATAGCTGTTTCGACAAATGACACTGACGAGTTAAACACTTACTGTTCAATGTATTTCATTTTTTCTCCGTGCTTTTCAATTTGCCTTTTACACACACTAGTCAACTGTTAGCTATAACTTTGCTGTAATCACATTCCCTCGTAACAATGTCCATTTTTATTGTTACAGGAAGTTTAACTGATGTGGTTGACTATACAATCTTTTTTAAAATGCTGCTGTAGAGAGAACCAAATAAATTTCCTCCCTCCACAAATGTCACATCTCTCACGAATCCTTTAACATAATCATCAGGCTTATCTACTTTTGTCTCTTAAGAGAAATACAGAAACTGAACACACTTCAACTAACACATATGCTTTACCAACATAATCACACAAGGAGAGACAAAAAAACTTTTACCCAAAACACACACCCGAGAACTATAACCTTAGACAAATAGTGGTTTGTATTTTTTATCTTGTTTCTTCCTTTACTGTTTACAATTGCTGTTAAAAAATTAATACTTAATTTCATAAACTGATTGAAGTTAAACATGGATAAGTCAATTTAGAAACTTGGAACCATTTCAGAGAAAACTACATAGATTTCCAGTAAACACTGAACATTTTTCAATAATATAAGAATAGCCATATAAAACACAAATTGGGCTGAAACAACTACTAATAATTTATTTTCAATAATAAAAATGCCTTGGTAGAACTTATTACTACACTGTCTTATCAAACACTTTTATTTAAAAAAAAGTTATAACTGTTAAATCTAATTTTGGACTTGTCAACCAGACTGGTTGATCATTACTTAATGCATAACTTGTAGTGTTGAAATATACAGTTTTTTTTTAAAGATGTACAAATAAAAAAAATAACTTTTCCTACTTCTAATGTGCACTTCATACTAATTTTACTATGATTTTCATTCCAAAATATACATGTAAACAAAAAAATAGAGCACTTAAAACACAGTTGAGAGGTAGGATAAAACACTTCAGCTGGTAAATCAAGGAGGTTAATTCGAACTAAGAAATAATAAAATCACATTTTCTTTTAATACATAGAGTTAATATCATAGGTGTGTAAAAACAGCATTTCAGACTGTCTTTTGTGCTACCAGACACTGTCAGGAGTATGATAATAAACACTGCAGTTCAAGTTGAGATCTGAAGATCATAACAAACCAAGTTTGATGTACTGACTAACTGAACCAAATATTTTATTATGGTGTCTCTAATTTTTGCTGTATGAACGTATACAGCAAAACCAATCATCTTTGGACTTTTCCACTTGATAATTTGACTTAATGTTTTAAAAGCAGTAACAGATAAAGTGTAAGTTTAAGTCTTAGATATAATATCTCTCTTGTTCAAAACTTTCCATTGAAACAGCTGTATTTACCAACTGTATCTGTTCACATAACCTCAGCAATAAATGGTATTTACCATTATTAGTTTATCTAAGGGATGGACGTCAAGTAAATCTTTGATCTTAACTGTACTTGCTTTACTTCAAGAAAAGATGACTTACCCTACATATACATGTAATTAAGCTTAAACTAAGTGAACTATGAACTTGTGATGGTGGAAACCAACATTGTAAACTTTTACACTCCATTATCTGTTATGGTTGTTCTTCACAACCATCACAAATTCTACTTTTAAACATTGGCACAAAAACAAAACTGAAACCAAAATGGAAAATCTGAGACCTCCAGTTTTTAGCTACAGTCAAAATTCACGATTTTCATCACTTTTGTTACAACCAATCAGATTTCAAAGGTTTTTATCAGACTTACGTTTGGCATTCTGTTCATTTTTTTTCTGCATTATGTTTCGTTTTCTTTTCATTCCCATAGCAACAGAAAATATTGGACTGTCCTTACACGAGAATGATCCATTGTTCTCATCATCGCTAACCTGCGTTGGCCAAGAACACTGGTTCTGATTGATATCTGATAAGTCCAGAGGATGAAGGATCAAACGAGTACTGCCAGAATTTTCTTCCATTATAAATGATTTGGTGACGTCAACTACAATGAGGCTTCAGCTACTAGTGAACAGTTGTTGGTGCTGCTGATATACAAATAAATTATAAGATAGCTTCTTAAGTGATTCATTATCTGTTATTTTTTAATATAGAGAGTATCTTGGTAGGATTGGTACAGGATTTACTACATAACACTGCAGAAACTATACTGTCAAAATTAAAAGAAATACATGTACGTGCGAGTACACTATTGAAAGGTGGCTTTTCAATGTTATATATTATCTACACAGTTGTAGATGTTCCAACTAAACCTCAAGTGTTGTTATACGAACAGCTGTGTATAGAAAGAAAAATATAATCCATTCTTCTGTGTGTGTGTTTGATATACTCCAAAAGTATGTCACCACTGACTGAATTCTATACATATTTATAGAATATACTCAAAATATCTCATTACAGTGATGAAAACATTCAGTCCACATCACTTTCACAAGTTAATTTGTTAATTTCCAAAATTTTATAATTACAAATAACTTTTGGCTCATCCTGTATTCTTTAGGTAAAACACCATTTTGGGATTGTCTAAGATAACCAAGGTTATTCAGTAAATTGTCTAAGGTAACCAAGGTTATTCAGTAAATTGTCTAGGATAACCAAGGTTATTCAGTAAATTGTCTAAGGTAACCAAGGTTATTCAGTAAATTGTCTAAGGTAACCAAGGTTATTCAGTAAATTGTCTAGGATAACCAATTTACTGAATAACCTTGTCTAAGGTAACCAAGGTTATTCAGTAA